CCCTTTGTATATACTTCTATTCTGGCATGTATCCCATTATATTATAGTTTATTGGTTTTTATGTCTATCTCCCATACTGTAAATATGATAACTTGAAGATAGGTATTAAATCTGAATATTCATTTTTGTACCCCCAGAATTTAAAACAGCGTTAACCCATGGTGCCACTCAAATCTATGATCGAATGCATAAGATGAGTAAATTAACTGTCCCAATACTATACCTGTAGCTCATATTTATTAAACCCAGAATAAATTTCTGGATATCCTAGTGGCTCTCTCTGGTGCCTCACACCTATCTTTGGTGTGGAAAACGCTCAAGATGTAATTAAATAGTACATTTGTTTATTTCTGGGAGTATGAACCAGGTCAGTGTTATGTTTGTTTTATACAAGTGAATACATAATCATAAGAAACTAAAATTTGGCAGTTTTCTTTAGCAGCTATACATATTTCTGTATGGACCTTTGGGTCTGCCTCTGATACTGTCAGGTCGGGAGCAGCCAGTTACTACTGTGTTCAAAGATACCTCTTATTTCATTGACTGGAAAAAATACCACTTGCATATGGTGCCCAATTTCGATCTCAATTTGGATAAAGGTATGTCCCCCTCTCTTTGTACAGGAATGAAGAAACCTGAAGGGTATTAGAGAAAGGAAATGTAAATAGCAGGTATATTTAAAAATAGGACCCAGTGATCTGATGGCCTAGGCTGGGATTGGGGATGGGGGTCAGGCTGAGTTTAAGAGATCACTTGGAGTAGCAAATAGATGTCAAACAGGCAGAGCCCCATCAGAGCCTGTTTGGCATTGCACGTGGATGCTGGTTCTCCTCTCACTTCCTCTGCTGCCACTTCTATTCCTGCTCCTCCTCCTAGCGACTTGTTCAGAGGGTTTCTATTGTACCTTAATCTGTCAACTCAGGGACTTTAGAAAGATGACTAAAGGAGCAATGACACCTTTGAACTATTGTGGAAGAGAAATGCTTCATGATGAAATGAGAAAATCCATATAAAATTACTTAGAAAAAGTTAAAACACAACATAAATTCAAGACCATAATACTAAACCTAGGAAGCTGGCTATAATATTCCTGTAGGGCCTAACCACATTAGCTTTGGGTGAATCATGCTAAAAGTTGGGAGGTTAATAATTGAACCAATAAATAAAATTGGGAAACAGAAATATGAAACCATGGGCTGATGTCTAGGAGGTTTGCAGTTTTGAGCTTGACTGTTGTTCACTAGAATCCTTTGAAATTCAGAAGATAGTCTGGTCATTTGGATCCCAAGGAAGATGTTAAGGAAGAGATATTCTAGGGTTGTGACTGGTATGAGAAGGTTGAAGCCTCTTGGGGTGGGGCAGTATCTCGGGGCGGGGCGGGGGGGGCAATGATGGGATCTTCGCCTGGGAAGGAAGCCTGGAGATAAGGTTCTTTGTTCCTGAGTGGGTAGTGATTCCAGAGGGTGGGTTTGAGAGGAGGGTGACCTGGGACAGGGTCTCTGGAGGTAAATAGTTTTGTGAGAAAAGAATGTTTGGTCTTAATCTGTCAGGCTACCAAGATTTTGAATAGAGGGATGACCTAGGTGAATTTCTAGAAATCTCCATATTTCTTTTTCTCTTTCATTTTTGTTTTCAGGCTTTGTTAATTTACTTTATTTTTTGCTACCGCATGATGCCTGAACTTGCTCAGTTAACTCTGGAAATGAATATATAAGAAATGTCCCCTCATCTCCCTCCTTCATTACTCTAAAGGATAGAAGCAGGATCCACATAGAGGTGCTTCTCCATATGGCTCTGGAATGTAGCACTATCCAGATTGTATTCCAAAGGGTCAAGGTGCTAGAAAGTGACCACAGGGCATTGAATTACTTAGGAATACAAATATCACACAATATTTGGGTTGAGAACACAGATTTTGGCGTCAGTCTAGCAAGGTCTAAAACTCAGTTCTACCATTTACTAGCTCACATTGGGCAAGGTATTTAACATATCTGTGCCTCTTTCCTTATCTGTAAAAGGTATAAGAATAGGTCCTACCTCATAGTGTTGTTATGAAGTCTAAATGTTAAGACAGTATATGAGAATTTAACATGGTACCTGGCATGTAGCACAAGTTAGCTGTTGTTATTATCATTACTCAGGCTTGAATCTGACCTCTGCCTCTTACTAGCCATACCTGCCTTGGAAAGTTGTATGAGGAAATCAGTGAATTTAGTGTTTCCCAATAAATGCAAAGGAGTATTGTTTGGTTTGCATTTTACACACCCAGTTGTTATTTTGATGTTCTTCCTGTGAGTGAGTCACTATTATTTGCTTCCATCGTGTGGATAGAGAAACAAGTTCAAGAGGGGAAGTGAATGTTTGAATTTAGATCTCCTATTCTCAGATGCTTCTGTGTTCAGAATATACGTTCTTTAGTCACTTAGCATTTCTATAAGTCTTTATTTATGTCAGGAATTGGTGTGATATCTTATCCTCTAGATTTGGTGCTTCCAGATGTGAGTTATCTGGTGGAATCCAGCGAAGGGGCTCAGTCTCAGAATACGGACACTCAGGGACACACTCTGCTGCTTTTTCTCTTTGTGGATTTCCACAACGGGTTTCCAGTCCAGCAAATGGAAATCTGGGGTAGGTATAGGAGGATGGGACTGCCAGCTGGGGTGTGCCAAATGCTGAGAAGATAAAGAAACGGAGACTTTGCGTAACGCAGATATCTGAATTAGATGTATTTCTGTAGAATAAAGAATTTCAGGCCGGGCGCGGTGGCTCACGCCTGTAATCCTAACAGGCCGAGGCGGGCAGATTGTTTGAGCTCAGGAGTTCGAAACCAGCCTGAGCAAGAGCGAGACCCCGTCTCTACTAAAAATAGAAAGAAATTAATCGGACAACTAAAAATATATAGAAAAAATTAGCCGGGCATGGTGGCGCATGCCTGTAGTCCCAGCTACTTGGGAGGCTGAGGCAGGAGGATCGCTTGAGCCCAGGAGTTTGAGGTTGCTGTGAGCTAGGCTGATGGGATGACGCCACGGCACTCTAGCCCCGGCAACAGAGCGAGACTCTGTCTCAAAAAAAAAAAAAAAAACAATTTCAGTGAGAAACCTTGCTTGTTAAATTAAACAAATTATATGCCCTATGGGAAAGATCCATTATGTTGGTGCCTCACATAAATGATGACATTCCCAGATTTGGTTGGCAGGAAATCAGCAGACACTTCATATAATGCTCCCCAGGGTTCAGTGGTTCTAAGCCTTAGCCACACAACCTCGGAGTGTCTAAAAATAATTCAAACTTCACCTCAAAGATTCTGACTTCCTTGGACAGAGGTGGGGCCCAGGTCTCAGTATGTTTTTAAAGCTTCTCAGATGATTCTGATGTACAGCCAGTCTTGAGAACTTTTCATCACCATACTGCTTTTCCAAGTGGATTAAAGAAATGTATGCTTGTCCTTGTTCAGAAATGTAAGGGGGAGGCTTTGGCGTTTAACTATTAGGTGATAACCTGTTTTCAAAAAGGTTCTCTCGCCAGGCACGGTAGCTTGTGCCTGTAATCCCAGCTACTTGGGAGGCTAAGGTGGGAGGGTCGCTCTAGCTCAGGACTTTGAGGCTGCGGTGAGCTATGATCATGCCACTGCACTCCAGCCTGGGTGATAAAGTGACATCCCATCTCAAAAAAAACAACAACAACAAAACCCCACACAACAAAAAATCTCTCTTTTAAAGGTAAAGCAGTTGTTTCAGCTTATGGTCCATGAGATGCATGCATCAGAATCACCTAGATTATTTGAAAATGTGCAGCTTCCTGGGCCAGTGATTAATTTTTACTTTTCCTTATTTTGAAATAATGTAAAAATCTGGTACAGTTTAAGAATCTGCATTTGAAATAAGATTCTCAAGTGATTCTTAAATATAGTAAAATTTGAAAACCACTGACTGTCAGTCGGAGTTGGCTTATGCATTTTAATTCAATAAATCCTGGGACACAAACTTAAGTGTTTCTCAATGTATTCCTAAACTTTGAGGGAAGTTACAAGGAGAAGTGGAGCTTATACAAATTTGGGGAAAAGTTCCTGAGCTTCCCTTTTGGTGCTTCTGATATGTTTTTGTGTTCTTTCTCTGTGGGCTGGTATGTTTTCGTGGAACTCTGCTCTGCAGGCATTCCAGTGCTGTTTGGTGTGGCCCTCCCCCTGAATCATAAGAAAAATGAGACCTCTTACAACCCCAGACCAGAAGAGCGCACGTTGACTGGTGCCGACTATTTGTTGAACAAACCATTGCCACCTGTGGGATTCTTTGTGCTGCCTTCCTCCCAAACCTCTCCTACCTTTTCCCAGTACATATTGTGCATACTCTAGGAGAGAAGCACTGTTTGCTGGGCTCTGGCTTGCAGCCCTTTATTTGAGGAGCTGGTGTTCTTTGATGCCTCACTGTTCCATAGATTAAGGCCACAGGAATGAGAAATAGATGAGACCCAAACTAATGAGGCTCTAGCAAAGAGGTCTAGGGTGAGGATTCCTAGGGCTGTTACCTGGCCTGTGGTCATATAGACAGAGGCTGATAAGAGAAGCAGCTTACTACTGTGGAAAGAACATCAAGGTAGAATCAAAAAACCTGGGTTTTATTTTAGCTCTAATACCAGCTTCCTCAGTGATTTTTGGGAAACAAATCATCTGAGCCTCCCTTTCCATATCTTTTTTTTTTTTTTTTTTTGAGACAGAGTCTTACTCTTTTGCCTGGGCTAGAGTGAGTGCCGTGGCGTCAGCCTAGCTCACAGCAACCTCAAACTCCTGGGCTCAAGCAATCCTTCTGCCTCAGCCTCCCAAGTAGCTGGGACTACAGGCATGCGCCACCATGCCTGGCTAATTTTTTTGGCTAATTTTTTTTTTCTATATAGTTTTAGTTGTCTGATTAATTTCTTTCTATTTTTAGTAGAGACGGGGGTCTCGCTCTTGCTCAGGCTGGTTTCGAACTCCTGAGCTCAAACAATCCGCCCGCCTCGGCCTAGCACTCCCAGAGTGCTAGGATTACAGGCGTGAGCCACTGCGCCCGGCCCCTTTTCATATCTTTAACATGAGATTGTTAGACTAGATAATGTCAAAAGTCCTTCCAAGACTAAAAGTCTCTTAAAACTTAAGATCTGCTACCTTGAAGCAGGTTTTTTTTTAAAGGTCTGCCAGAGGATAATCCTAGGATAACGCAAACCTGATACCACGTTCTGGGTGCTATTGAACATAGCTTAAGAACTCCAATTCCTCAGAAACTAGTGTTACTTATCATTCTTATAGTACCGTGATAATTTATACACTTCTGTTTAGCTTGACTCTGAAGGCCTGTAGTATATCAGTACTTGTACTCAGTGTTGGATTAAAAAGAAATTCATCACTGAATTAGTAAACATAGTATCTTTTCAAATGTCACATATCTGGTGGTTTAGGACTAGCCTCTGAAGAGGATGTGCAGTGAGGGAGGCAGATATGGACAGAGAGTGATTTTATCTTCTCCTTCCCCCTCTTCTTTCTCATATTCTTGAAAGCTTTCTCCAGGCTCCTTCTTTTAGGAAACAGATTGTGCAAAATTACAGTCTGTTTCCATGTATCTGTAAAAAAAATTATATAATTGGCCTTCTGCCTACCTTGTCATGGTAACTTTTCTGTGATTAACTCATTATTTTGCCACAATGTCAAAAGCATCTGGTGGTATCAGCAGTTTTAGGAATGAACTTTGGTTTTTAAATTTAATGTCTGCTATCAAAAGGGGTCTGATTTCTTGAAGCTATTTTCAGGACCAGACTATGGAAAATAGTAATCCAGATATCAGTCATCACAGCAATAGCAATATTTTTCCGTTGAATATTGCAGTGTACATTTCAAAACACTTCATGTAAATCATCCCAGTTTATTTGCACAACATACCTATGAAGCAGGTGATATAAAGCCATTTTCTGTACTGAAATAAGAAAAGTGAAGCAACTTAGCCATCACTAGTTGGTGGTAAAATTGAGCATAGAATGTATGTTCTCCTGATTCTAGCTCCAGACTCCTTTTGAGCTTAGCCCGTATTACCTTCCCTAGCAGAAAAGCATCCTGGTGCCTTGTGATAGAGAGTTTTCCTTCTGGCTTGCATTTTTAATGCAGTCCTGAGAAAAGCCAGCCAGCCTTAGGCTGCTTCACCACAGTATCTGAACAGACTATCCAGGAGAGAGTAGAACAACACTGAAAACACAAAGGAGGATGAAGAAGCATTTTCTCCAGGTGGCCTGTCAAGTGAACTTGGCTTCCTGTTTCTGCTGCAGCAGGATCGTTTGATGGTAGCCTATTGTTTGAAGACATATTTTTGCCCATTGCTCTCACATGTTAGCTTTTCTGAAAGAGAGATAATCCTCCATTCAAAAGGACCTTATGCAAGCGAGGGGTTCTCAGAGTCATCTTTGTGAGCTTTAACCCTTCCTTTACCACAGCACATCTGGAAGAATCCCCACAACAGTGATGCTCAATAGGAATGGAGTAGGGTTAGACACACTCTCCAGGGCTTCTCCTCTCCCTCTTTCTACTCTCCTCTGGCAGTCACCAGTATCGTTGTTTCTAGTATGTAGTATTAATATATATTTCCGATGTGAATTAAACAGGATCCCTCATTTGTTTCTTCAAAAATAATGTCATTCCTCACTTTAATTTTCCTGAGCTTTCTTTCATTTATAAGTGAGAATTTGGTGGGTTTGTAGGTTGCTGTGAGGTTTTGTCTTTAAAAGTAATTATTTGTGGATAGGTAATGGCCTTTTCTTCCAAGAGACATCTTTCCCACTCCCAGCTCTGACTCAGAGCACATGAACAGCAGTCTTGAAGTAGCCACCCTCACTCATGGTTATGGACATTCTTCCTCCCCGTAGGAGTCCATACTTTGCTCACTACTCATCTCAGTGCCATCCTCATGGAGAGCCACAGTGTAGTACAAGATTCCATCCAGTTCACTGTGGACCAGGTCTTGGAACAGCATCACCAGGCTGCCAAGGTAATAAGAAATTCACAGCCTCCTTTCTCCTACTCTCTAAGAAAAAGATAGTATATAGCAGGCAGGGGCCAAGAGTCCTTCCTCCCTTAGTGGCCCTTCCTTTCCTCTTCTGTCACCTGGGGTGATCTTTTAACACCGCATCTAGCCTAGGCGCTCAAGCTGTAATTTAGGTGGGTCACTGTAACCAGCTTACTTAGTCTTACCTCCTAGTAGTTGGGTTTGAGTAAATAGGGAAATAGCTAATAGAGAAAAATGACTGACAAAGCACTTCTCCCTCATCTACATATCTCCCCTTCCCACACATAATTCTGGAGCTGCTTTGTCACTAAATCTTACATTCTTCCCTCATTTTCCTAATTCTTTATAGCACCACTTTCTCTTTGTACTTGAATTTCTGAATGCATCCATCCTCTGTACTTTTGGTAACACATTTCTCACTTCATATGGCCCCCTATTCAGGGAAAAAACAACCACACTAAGAAAGCAAAACTTAAAGCTTTTTAAAAAAAATAATGTATCTGTTTTATTGACCAATGTCTCATTGCTTGTCTTTTCTGAATGTGTCTGTGTCAATAAGTCATCTTTATGAAAGGAGAGAACATTTTAAAAATTTGTTTTAATCCCTAAGTGTCATGATGTAAAGATGTGTCATGATCGATCTCAGTACGTACTGTTGATAGAAGGGAAGAATTGTTGAAATCCTGCCCCGACTGAAATCTTTGGCCCCTTTGGGATTCTCGGAACCAGCAGCTTGGCATTAGCGCAGTCTCCTCTCATGTGTTACGTGTCCAGGCTCATCAGAGACTGCAGGCCTCACTTGCGGTGGCTGTGAATTCCATCATGAGTGTTGTGACTGGAAGCACCTGCAGCAGCTTCCGGACAATGTGTCTCCAGGCCCTTCAGGTTAGTAGGGGATTGGGGATGCTGAAGTGCCCACTGCCTTTGCAACATGCACTGTGCTTTTAGGAACATTATTTTATTTGCTCTTACTGTGATCCTACATAGTACCAGGCCTAAATGTTTTAAGAAATATTTGTTGAATGAATAGTAGTGTGTATACTATTTTATAAATGAGAAAACAAGTTATTGAAGATTTCTACTTCCTTTAGGTCACATAGCTAGTTAAGAGGAAAGCTAGGATTAGATCAGTGATTTCCAACTCCTTGTTGGACAATGCTCTGCTACCTCATAGTGATAGAATACATTGGAAGTAACTGAGCAACGTTAAGTATCAACCTTAAGTATGTGATGGTATGGAATGGTGTAAAGTGTCAAAGGCTTAGGTTCAAATCCTGACTCATTTACTTACTAGCTATGTGGACTTATGCCTGTATTTAACTTCTCTGAGCCCCACCTACAAATTGGAAAAAATAATAGTACCTCACAGCATTATTATGAGTGTGAGGACTAAATGTGTGCTATGGTCTGAATGTTTGTATCTCCCCAAAACTCATATGTTGAAATCCTAACCCCTCAAGGTAATGGTATTAGGAGGTTTGTGGCCTTTGGAGATGATTAGGTCATTAGGGTCCACCCTCATGAATGGGATTAGTGCTCTTATAAAAAAGGCCCAAGAGAGACCCTTGCCTCTCTGCCACATGAGGACACAGGGAGAAGTTAGGCAGTCTGCAACCCAGAAGAGCGCCCTCACCAGAACCCGACCGTGCTGGCACCTTGATCTCAGACTTCCAGCCTCCAGGACTGTGAGAAATAAATTTTCATTGGTTATAACCCACCCAGCCTATGGTAATTTGTTACAGCAGCCGGAAAGGAATAAGACAGTGTGAAAGTGTGTGGCGTATGATAGGTTCTCAACGTTAGCTTCTTTTCTTCCTTTTAGGAATGTGTGCTGACCAACTGGTATTAATATTATCAATGGGGAACACATTAGTTCCATGTCTCTTGCTTCAGTTTTTTTTCCTTTTTTTTTTCTGGAAAGATAGTATAACACACACACACTTGAAATAATAGCTGATGAATTTTATCACCATTTAAAATTTTTGCTTATCCCATACATAATTATAACCAAAGCATTCTATTTTCTTATATAATTTGACATTTTTCCCTGTTTCAACAGTTTTAGAATTTTGTTTCAGTTAAATAATATTCCACTATAGTATTTTTATCTAATTTAATAAACTATTCCTCTGTTAGACATTTAAGTTGTTTACAGTCTTTTTGCTGATATAAATAGTGCCTCAGCAATACCTTTATATGGAATCTTCTTTTGAATTATTTCCTAGAATAAACTTCTATAGATGGAGTTACAGATCAAAGAGTTTAACACCTTTACAAGCTAGTGCATTCTGTCATAGCGTCAGCTTTCCAGGTCATGTGGCTAGTATAGGGTAGAGAGAAGAACTCTGTATTGGGAATTTGAAGGTATGCATTAAAGCCCTAACGTTTATACTAAATAGCTGTGAGATCTTGGGAGAGTCACTTCTCCTTTCAGAATTTAAATTTTCTCATCTATAAAATTAGTGTGTTGCATTAGGTGATCACTCTGGTCCCCTTTAACTCTAATATCCTACAATTTTGTATTAAAAAGTAGAAGGCTATGGCCCATTCCCTATGGGTGCAAACTGTGTTCTTTTGTCCCTGTTCTCCCTAAAAGGCTTATCTGAGGAAAAGGTCTCATATCAGCCTCAGTTGTTCAGTGGACCTCTGCTCTCTTGGAAACTTATTTTACAGAAGAGTAGTTTATATAGCCCCTTCATAAATAGATGGATCTTTGGGGTATTTATCTCCTACAGAAATAGGATCTGTTTGAAGGATCTTACTTAGGTGACAGAAGTGGGAAGGCACACAGGAGCCACAACCACCTAACTTATGCCCAGTATCCCAGGCCTTCTGTTTTCCTCTCCTGCCTTCATAGAAACAAAGGAAACCTCTGACACCATGTGAGCAATACCAGTGGTTTGCCTTCCTGTCTGCCTCATCATCCCCCTATATAAACTTCTGTGAATACTTCTCCCTTGCTTTCTAGTACTGGAACTCAGCATGTTCTATCTGTGGTTCATTGTAGGCAGCTGACACACAGGAGTTTGGGACCAAACTGCACAAAGTATTTCATGAGATCACCCAGCACCGATTTCTTCACCACTGCTCATGTGAGGTGAAGCAGGTAAGTGTAAAGTAATAATTAGTAATTTGGTAGAAATCTTCCATTTTGGTATGTGGGGATCCTGAATTCAGGGTGGGTAGGTGCCAGTGTTTTAGACTACACGATCTGAAGTTAGCCTTTCAGCAAGGAAGTCTGTGGTTCAGAAAAACTTCATAGAACATAGTATTACACAGAGGTTAAGAGCATGGTTAAACATTGCCTGAATTCCATTTTGTCACTAACTAGTTGTTGGCATTATTGTGGCAGTTACTTAACCTTTCTAAGCCTCAGTTTCTTTATCAGTAAAATAGGAATGAAGCATATCTAAAATGATTGTTGTGCGCCAGGCATGGTGGCTCATGCCTACAATCCCAGCACTTTGGGAGGCTGAGACAGGAAGATTGCTTAAGGCCAAGAGTTCCAGGCCAGCCTGGGCAACATAGCAAGACCCTGTCTCTACAAAAAATTATTTTAAAAATCAGCTGGGCGTGGTGGCACACACCTGTGGTACTATCTACTTGGGAGGCTGAGAAAGGAGGATCACTTGAGCTCAGAAATTTGAGTTTGCAGTGAGCTATGTTTGGGTCACTGCACTTCAGCCTGGGCAAGAGTAAGATCTTGTCTCTTAAATAAAAATAATTATTATGAATTTTGAATAAGATTATGTAAAGTGCTAAGCACATAGCTACTATTATAATGGGGTGATATGGTAGGATTCTTATGTTTCTAATGAAAAATACATTTTTTCTGTTCACCTCTTCGGATGTAGGAGATCTAGAGTTTCTTTTTTTAAAAAAAGTTTTTCTTTTTTTACACCAACAAAGCAAAGGCAAATGGACTTTCATTAGGTGGGGTCTCTACTCTTAAGGATGTCAAATAGCTTTGGCTGGTTTTGTGTTAGGCTCCCCTAATGAGCAAAGGGAAATCATAGCTAGGAAATTCTGATATCTCCAGATTCTAGGTGTAGCTGGTAGTAGGGGTCTAACTGAAGCCCACTTTTCTAGCTCTCTTAGCTCCAGTCTGTAGGATTGACTTATCCGGAACTAAAGTATAGGATGAGTAAATGAGAGATTAAGGATGAAATAATCATACAGTGGCTTCTGGCCACAGTGGAGTGACAGGGACCAGATATACCCTCCAGCCTAAAATTAAAAAAGAAAATCCAGATACAACATACGAAACAATGGCTCTTAAGACATTGGACATCAGGCAACAAATGGGATAGTCATTCCTGAGAGATGGAAAACAAATGATTTCTGTTTCATTGAACAAAATAACGATTATCCCTGTGTGCTGTCTAGACAAAGTATGGAGGCCATGGAACAGGGAGAAGGAATCCAGGCAAAGTTTGGTGGTCTCCCTAAGTTGAATAGATGGAGCTGGGGAATCCAGGGATACCAGGACAGCTAAAGTTTTCAGAGCAGAGTACCAAGAGGAGAGAGCTGCACTGAAATTCTGGATGTCTGCAGAGGGACTAACCCCTCTGCTGTTCAGTTGAGTACTGATCAGATCATTCTTGTGGAGAAAATAATCCAGGTAAAGAGCCATTAAGATTAGAGGGAACGATATGTGGAGCTTATACAGGGCCAGGAATAGCGACCGTTCCTATCTATCAGTGGAAAAACACCCTCATAATTTATGGAGCATTAGGTAGAAAACTAACAAAAGTCTTGCCTTGGGAATGGAGAAAAAAATTAACCTCCAATAAACACTCCTCTGGTTTTGTCTAATAAAGCTTAAAAACAGAAGCAAGATCCAAAGGATCAAACTATTTCCAAGTAATTCAATAGCATCAGAGAACAAAGTTCAAAATTATTTATAGGAATACAAAAATATACAGCACCCATCAAGATAATATTCACAGTGCCTTTCTTCTAATCAAAAATTAACAGGCTTGCTAAGAAGCAGGAAAAAATAAAGAAAAAACTTAATCATAATTAATCCAGAACTAACACAACAAATAGTAGACAAAGACATTAAAAGAGTTATTGTTATTACTTTTTTTTCTTTCCTTTTTTTTTTTTGGAGACAGGATTTTGCTCTGTTACCTGGGGCTAGAGTACAGCAGTGCCATCATAGCTCACTGCAACCTCAAACTCCTGGGCTCAAGCCATCCTCCTGCCTCAGCCTCTTAGCTGGGACTATGCCTGGCTAATTTTTCTATTTTTTGCAGAGAACGGAGTCTCAGGCTGGTCTCAAACTCCTGGCCTCGAACGTTGTTATTATTTTTGATATGCCATAATTTTTATTGCAGTTTGGCCATTTTTGTGAAGGTGGGGAGTTTGATCTTAAAAACAATGTTCCATTTAAGCATCTTTTATAGAGAAATTACCATCATGACTGATACTTAAAATATCTTTAGTGTTGCAAGACTCAAATGGTAAACATAAAACTCCTACACTTATTCTGTAGTGTATGTACACTTAGTGGAAAACAAAAAGGCATTAATAACAGCTATTTCTTTTCAGAAGATATGCAGGTAACAGGACTGAACACTGAGGTACTAGAATAAGTTGATGACATGATAATACAACTTAATCGGCTTTCCTCTTGGGGCAGGGGATTAAACTTATTACCAAAAAAAGTGCTTTTAATGCATAGTGTTCTATCTCTGCTGCCACATCACAAAAATAGGCTTGCCAAGGCCTATACATGAATGCTGAAGCCTCACAGACTGCAATCAAGTTTAACTATTAATGTAAATAATACTGAATAAAGTTTACCATCTGACCAGTGGATGATACTTTCAAGGCATTCAATTAGCTTATCTTTTGCAATAGTCAAAGCTATTGACAATGACAATCACATTCATTGCAGTGCTTGCTGCAAGGGATATAGCCAATTGTCTGGCTAAAATATCGTGGGAAGGCATTCCTTACTAAACAGTCTAATGACAGTCACTGATGGGCTGCTTAAATTAATGATATCTCCTTCATTCATTGTGTTGGAAGGGCCCAGTGAAAAGGAGAGAAATTAAAAAAACAAAACCTAATGCTATTCTAATTGACTGAGCTGGAAAAATGGAAGCTCCTTAAGATCTAGATGGCACTTGACTATCATTTATAAGAGTTTTCTTTTAAGTGAAGCTAATATATTGCCCCCATAAAAACAGTTATTATTATAACTGTATTCCATGTATTCAGGAAGCAAGAGGAAAGATTGAATAGAGATGTGGAAAGTATAAAAATAGACCCAAAATAGGCCGGG